GGTTCAAGTCAAGTCATAAGACATCGGATTAGTTAAATAACTTCAATGTCCAACGATATGCATAGTATATGCATAGTTCTATAAATATAAACTCATTTTATTGGTTTATAATCGTACAATTACACATTTTAGCTATCTGCACGTTCAATTGTATTGAATCAGTTAATGGATTAAATAACCGATTCATTAGTTCAAATAATTGTCTCAGTTAAATTAACACTGCATGTGAGATCTGTCTCCAATTATTTAAATTGCAGTTCGGAGAGGTCCGACCTTGCCAAGATTCACACGTGATCTGAATTAATGGTTTGAAAGACTCACTACTGACGACAGGCAGACAAATGGAGCCTGTTGACAGTGGTTTAATTAAACATATCTTAATTTTAAATTGTACTTCGGAGCGAAGGTCCGATTTTGTTAAACACGAGTTTTTCCCAAGAACTCTGTGCCAACCTAATTCAAAATTCACTACAAACAAGTAAATTTAATTGCATTGGTGAAACATCACAATTAATTCCGCACCTATGATGCATAACTACGGAAATTGTTCACGTTTCAAAGTGTAAACGACAGTCATGTAGAATGGCATATAGAATGTCATATAGAATGCCATAAAACGCCATGTAAATGGAAAATTGAACGGGAACAAAAAGAATAAAAAGATGGTTGTGATTCATTATTATTGATCTGTTTTTTAATAGTTAGTCTCTAGCAATGCTTTTATAAACACGATACACTAGGGGAAGGTAAACAAAGATTAGTTAAACACTTTTAAAATAAAAAAAGAAAAACAATATTAAAAATAGGTTTAATATTGTTTTGTGAGCGATAAAGACTTTATACGTATAAAGATCGTTGTCTATGATGATTAACGTGTATGACATGACAAATGCTGTCCTACAATCGCATAACTTTATCTAACATATATATATGCATATATTTCATTCTCAATCCATAAATTTTACTTTTCCCATTTCTTATAATTTGATTCATATAAAGAATTTAATCCATGGACAAAATTGTCGGAAGTACACCGACCGTAATTAGTGATGCAATAGAAGTTACAGAAGGTCTAACTCACTTTGCCACTGGTTCGGATGCAGCAAAAAATGCCTTATGCGCCGTTGGCGCCGTCGGAGAGGCTGTAAAACCCTTTGTGCCTTTAATTAGCGCAGTAACTCTTTTGATTTCTGAAATCATCGTGATTTATGAAAATGCCCAATATAACAAGAGAATTTGCAATTCGTTAATGGACAGAGTTGGTGCAGCTGAACAAGCTATTAAGTCTTTGCAACGAAGAAAAGCTGAAAATGAAAAGCGTTTCAAGAATGCTGAATATTATAAAAATTTTGTACGATTCGTTGATGTTTTAAAAAGAATTAAAGGATTTATTAAGGATGTATCTGAATTACAAGGTTACAAGAAATTCTTTCATTCGGGTTCAATCAAAGAGAAGTTTGACAGTCTTGTCAAAGAGTTTGAGACTGTGATGGGAGATTTGCATTTTACAATGGCTGTTGCCGATGAAGAGCAAAGGAGACTTGACCATGAAGCTCTTGAACAAGATATTTCTGATATGACTAAGGTATTTTTACTGATTTAATGGTTCAATTTCTTGTAATCTTATATTGTAATTAGTAATATTAATCTCTTTATATGATTATTATTATTCTAGTTTTTAGAACAAATCAAAGGTGGTATAGTCGATAATACTAATACACTCAACACTGTTTTACAAGAAGTGTTGATTATGAAAGGCCAAATAGAGCATATATCTGATATTTCAAAGGTTAATTTACCAAATAGCGGATCTATCAAGGCTGTTGAAATAAACCCCGATGAATTGCTAGATCCAGATATTAAAAGTGAGACTGACCGTAGAGGCAATAAACCAAACTATATTTATAAAAAAACTTATAAGGTTCAGGAGGTTGCTTGTAAGCCAATAAATATTCCAAGTGATGACGATGCTAAAGCTACAAGAGTTCAAGCTCACCTTGCTATTTTGGGAAAATTGCGAGATTCACCAAATATTCTTAAATTTTATGGTCTTTCATATCTTGAAGGCAATAGAGTTATGGTTAATGAATGGGCTGAAATGGGTACATTAAGAGAAGTGTATGAAAAATATGATATTGCATGGACCGCAAAAGTACATATAGCTACTGATATTTGTCGCGGTATTACATTCTTGCATTCCTGTTCTATCCTTCACCATGACATTCGATGTGAAAATATATTGGTAATGTTACTTATCTTAAATAGTTCAATTTATAAATTTAGTTTTAAACTTAATAATTTCTAAACAGATGACACGAAGCCTCGATCCTAAAATAACTAATTTCGAATATTCACGTTATACGGCTTCTACTACTACAAATATGTCAACAATAACCGAAGTTGTGCACTGGATGGCACCTGAAAAATTACGACCATCTAAAGATACGAAACAAGCACCATATACCTTTAAATGTGAAATTTTCAGGTAAACTCTCGGTTTATCTATGGTTAGTGATGATGACATTTAATTTCATTTATTACATCTACATTAAATGCTTAGTTTTGGAATGACACTTTGGGAACTTGCCTTTGAGAAAATTCCTTACGAGCATTGGGATATGAGTCAAATAAAAGAGCATGTTGTAGCGGGTAAAAGGGAGAAAATCAGCTTTGGAGACGCCTCGCCGGAGATTCAACATGTCCAGCAAGAGTTGAAATTAATTATTGTATCAGGTAATTATTATATCAGGTATACTATTATTATTTTATTACTTGTTCATTCATATCATTTATTTTATTATTTTCAAACCAAGCCTGGCAGGATGATCCAGGTCTTCGAGCATCACTTCAACAAATATTCTTGCAACTTTCTAAATTAGCCAGCATTCATAAGAAACCATTGTCTTCTCCGGCACTTCTTCCGGCAAAGACTTTAGATTTAGATGGATCCATGAAAAAAGCTCCTATTTCTGTTAGTGATGAAGGTGGTACAGAATTACCAGACCTAGGTGATGAATTTAACATTGATGCAATAGAGCCGGTAATGCCTCTAGAAGAAGGCATTGCAGCACACAAAAGAAAAGACAATAAAACTGCCTGGGAATGCTTTGAAGCACATGCAGATCTTGGTAACACCACTGCAAAATATTGGATGGGCTATTACTTGTGGGAAGGATGTTTGGATGGAAAGAAAGATCGCATACAAGCGAGCAAACTGTTTAAAGAAGCTGCCGATGATGGCATTTCTGATGCACAGTTACGATATGCATTTTCTCTGGTGAACAACCCACCAATAAAGTTTGACCGTGCAGTATTTCTTGATTATTTGAACAAAGCTGCCGACAACAATAATCCTACAGCACAATTTAATTTGGGTGATATGTATTTAAATGGTAAACTTAAAGTAGAGAAAGATCGAAAATTGGGCATAAAATACTTGAGATTGGCTGCTCTCAATAATCAACCCAAGGCCATTGAAATTTTAAACAGGATAGGCATTAATATTTATACTGATGAACAAGCTGAATAAATTATTTTTGTAAGTACTTCAATTTTTTTATTTACATGTCAAATATTTATTAAATGATATATTATTGATTTATTATTATTATTTTTTTTTAAAAAAAAAAGAGAATTAAAAATTTTAAATTATTTATTTTCCTAGTAAAACTATTATTAAAAGAAAAAAGGTGTACAATATATTTATTAAATGTCAAGTTATGAGAAACCAACGCGTATTATCTCGTTTCTGGACAAACTTTACGCTAAATTCTTAATTTTGATAACAATAGCATGTTAGATGTCATTTTTGTATTAATTAACATATACATAATTTTTAAAAATAAAATATTTAAAAAACTTCATCTTTTATAAAGTATAAGAGAAGTATAAGAGAAATGTTAATAGCAAAACATATATTATTTAAATTTAATAATATTAATTGTTTTAACAAGCCAAACTAATCTGCATCTATCAATACTGTTTGCTCTTTTTTTTAAAAAAAAATATATTAATCAAGATAATTTGAGGATTAATTAGTTAAAAAGAAAAAACTTTTCAAGATATACAAATATATAATTTAGCTATATTTTCACAATATTGATAGATTGTTAAAATGGATTCCCAACATAAGCTTTTTTATAAATTTCTTTGAAAAAAAGCCTTTAAATTATTCTGTCGGAATTTGAACATTGGTTGATAATTTATACCTGAAAATTTCATTGATATAATCTTTATCTGGTATTCTGATAATGATAAATATCAGAAATATATATTTCAAGTATTTGTCGCACGTCAAATCATATCGATATCAGATATTAAAACCAAAGAGTCTAAAAATAAAAGACTCGAATGTGTGCTTTTAATCGATCCAACTAGAATTATCACTTGTGCTGTCTTTTGAACATGTGTTATCATTTAAAGCCCTCATTCCGTATTCTATTCTTGGACTTCCTGGTTTTCACTTTGCGATAAGGTCTTTAAACCTATGTGAATTTTCAGAACTTCTAATTAAAATCGAAGAATATACGGGATTTCCACTACAAAAATGATCCTCGAAACTATGTTGACTTTGTGAAATTTGCTAGCTACTAATGATCCAATTGAATGAACAAACTTTTTTTTATTTGTAGGGTTCAACACGCTCTACAAAATAAAAAAGCCAAATCACTAGATATCTAGCCAATTTAATTTTATTCACAAAATCAACATAGTCATTTTTTTAATAAAATATCTCATATTGTTCTAATTATGATTAAAACCACAAATCGAGATGTCGCTCAAAACTCTGAGTTAGGGGTGGGAATCGATTGTTTAATCGCAAAAATATGTGGCCTCTGCAGATAGCTACCCCAGTAGGACCATGAAAGATCGCAGATGCACCAATCAGATCTTTTCTAACAATCAACTCTCTATGAAACCACCTACTGCACATTAACAAAAAAATTTTCCGTAAAATTTAGTATAAGATAAGCCATAATCTCAGTCACAACTCCAACCCTAACGTAGGTTTTTATTATTATATACATTGTTTAATTAGTGCAGATCTGATTGATGCATATTATCGATCTTTTATGGTTTCTCTGGGGTACACCCCAGCGTCGCCAAGAAAAAATGGTATTTTTCTGGCTTACATGTGATTCGGATACTGATTGCCGGATAAATTATGAATTTTTTTATTCAATGAAAATAACTTAGTTATAGCGAATAAATAAATAAAAATAATAATTAAAACAAGGCGATTTAAACAGTTTATCTTAAATTCATAGAATCTTTACGCACTATAAAGTAGCCTACTTTTGATTCACCAATTACAAGTTAAATTAACATAGATAACAAATCTATGAATTCACGAATTTTAATGCATTGGTTAAAAGATCTTTATATATAATTAAGTTATGCGAATTAAAAAAGATGAAAAGCATTTAGGGATTGGAACCGCCTAAAATTTTTCTTAATCGTTTAATCGTTTAACCGTTTAATTTGACCGGCATTAAAATAATTCCAGCTAACGACCAACATAATTCCGCCCGGGACTATAGTGCAACTTTTTAAACGGTTAAACGGTTAAACGGTTCCAATCCCTAATAGCATTATGTAACTATAATTTATTTTAAATACTAAAGTTTGTATTTACTCAAAAATAAAAATTAGCAAGAATAAATAAAAAGCAGGATCGCGAACTTAAAGAGCTTATCGATCAAGATCTTTATACTCAAATGAATTAATGCTAATAAAACAAAATCATATACGTATATTGTCCAGAATCAATTCTGAGAACTGACTAGCCGTTTCCTTAAAACAATATTTAGCTTAAATATATTATCTAGTTCTGAATTTCTGAATTTTTATTTCACTAATTCCCAACCAAAATGCTCGTGTTTTAAGTTCGTTGATAATAATTTTTCGACATTGTACAAACGCCTTAGTCTTAATCTTTCTACTTAACAACAGGAAC